TATTAATTGTGTGGCCTACTCTGTGGGCATTTTAATTATAAAAATGTATGTTTTTCAGCTCTGAAAAATTTTTCCTTATTTATCCTAAATGTTTTGCTCCCTGTTTTCTATAACTCCTTTGTTAGTTTAGTATTGGATTTTTCTAGGATGATTCTCCTGTTTTTTATTACTTTCTTTTTTGTTCCACTTCCTGAGAGATTTCCACTTTATCTGCCAGCTTGGTAATTGAGTTTTTTTAATCTGCCATAACTTGAATATATTAAGTGCTCTTATTCTTTGAATGTAATTCATTATAGACTTTGTGTGTGTTTCATAGATGTAGTATTCCTTTTATATATCTGAGATTGTTATACCATTTTTGTGTATTTGTGAAGTTTTCTTCTCCTTGACTGTTTACTCTATAATACCTTTTCTTTTTCTTTTTTGTCTTCCTCACATGTCTGGTATTTAAAACTTTTTTTTATAATATTGTTGTAAATGTACATAACAAAATTTACCATTTTAACAATTTTTAAACATGTAAGATCTGTGGCATTTAGTAGATTCACATTGTGTAACTATCATTACCATCCTTGTCCAGAACGTTTTCATCTTCCCCATTTGAAATTCTGTATCCATTTAACATTTCTATCCCTGCTCCTGTAAGTCCCTCACAAGTGCCATTGCTTTATGTCTCTATGAATTCATCTACTTGGAGAGCCTCATGTAAGAAGAATCATATACTTTGCTTTTTATGGCTGCCTTATTTTACTTAGCGTAATGTCTTCAAGGTTCAGTCATGCAATAAAATGTGTCAAAATTTCCTTCCTTTTAAAGTGGTTTGTTCTTATTTAAGAATGAGATACACTAAACGGCAGATTTGAAGCTCAATGCAAGTAGGCAAAACTTCTTGTCTTTTGCTAAAAGATGATAAGATGATGAGTACCTTTTTCATTGGGTCATCCCAAAATATCTATATTTTAAGTCGTTTTTTGGGGTCCTGTAAGTTTCTCCCGAAGAAAAATATCTCCATAACTCCTGCCTGGGGTGTAAACTTGAGCTTATCGTTCAGAGAACAGGGGAAAGAAAGAGGCCTTAGGCATTTGCTGTTTGGTAGACTTTTCCTAGCTTCTGCTATTGTTAATAAATAGGTCACCCCTATTCTTAGCTTTAGTTATTGTTCCTTGAGTCCAGTTTTTCTCATTGTTTTTTCGGACTTGTGAGTTGACAGGCAGCCTTTGTCTAGAGGGTAATGGGGGTAGCTGCCTTGTTGCTTGGTAGTGTTGGGGAGAAAAACTGAGGGCCTAACTGCTCTTTCAATATCCTCAGCCAGTTCTTCTGTTTTCAGCCCCATCCTGAAACCTCTTTTCAGAGATACATTGTGCCTGCATTTCCTGGTCTTTTCAGAGTATAGTGGTATGAACAGATTGCTTTTGTTTGGATTTTCTCTATTTAGGTTTGGGCTTCATTTTTTGCATTCTACCAAGTCAAATTCATCTGGTTGCATTTCCTGTACTAAAGTTGTGTTGCTATTATCTGTTATTTCCTATTTTCTTTGATATTGTTTTTATACCTTTAAAAATGTATTTTATTGCCGTTTAGGAGTGATTAACAGAAAGAGTGAAGAACTACATGTATTTACTATATTTTAGCTACTGTACTCCACTTGAATGATTTTTTTTTCTTTACCCCAAAGAAACTTTCTTTTTTTTTTTTTTAAGAGAGAGAGAGGAGAGAGAGAGAGAATATTTAATATTTACTTTTTAGTTGGCGGACACAACATCTTTGTATGTGGTGCTGAGGATCGAACCCTGGCCGCACGCATGCCAGGCAAGCACGCTACCGCTTGAGCCACATCCCCAGCCCCCCAAAGAAACTTTCTAAAAGAGACATTCCATCAACAATAGCATCACTAGGAGCTTGTTAGAAATGCACTCCCAGGCCCCATCCTAAACCTAGCAAATCATATCCTGCATTTTAACAGGATCCCTGCCCTGAAAGATTTATGCACATATTAAGTGCTCAAAATATATTTTATTGAATAAATGCCTTATATGTCTTTTGTTAGACAGTTGCTAGTCTGAAAAGATCCAGAAGTTAGAAATTGTTTGAAGCTATGGGAGTAGATGAGTATATAGAATAATAAGAGAGACAAGGAAATCAATTTTAAGGTGTGGGAAAGGGACAATAGTCCATTTAGGAAAAATAGAGCTAAGGGAGAACAGAGGCCCAGAGTTTTATGTGAGGTGTGGGAAAATAATCATCCTTCAAAAGAAGAGTGATACAAAGTTCAGGCTATCCTTCAGAGACAGCCTCTGATTTGTAAAACTAGATGTGCCCCAGCATAGACTGGAGACATAATATTTAAGCACACATCCCAGGATAAGAGGATGAGGAGGGCTGAGATCTGCCATAAATTCCTGGTTTTAAAAAGTACCTAAATCTGATTCTTAATTTTTTTTGGCGGGGGCTTCGTACTGGGGATCAAATGTAGGACCTTGTGCATGCTAGGCAAGTATTCTGCCACTGAGCTGTACTACCAGCCCTTTTTTCTTTTTCCTTTCCTTTTTTTTTAAATTTTAAAATCTTGCCAAAATTTTTTAAGATCTTGCTAAGTTCCTCTGTCTGGCTTGAAACTTTCAATCCTCCTACCTCAGCCTTCTGAGTAGCTAGGATTATAGGTGTGCTCCACTGTGTCTAACTAACAACTTTATTGATATATAATTCACATAAAATATATTCCACTCACATAGGGTAATGTAAGGATTTTTATTATATTCATAGAGTTTGGTTAATTTTGGAACATTTTCATTACCCTGAAATAAACCTTATTTACATTAGCAGTGATTTCTTATTCTCTCTTAGCTCCTTAGTCTAGGTAACATTAATCTACTTTCTAGCTTTATAGATTTGTCTATTTTGGACAATGGAATCATATAATATGTGGTCTTTCATGACTGGCTTCAAAACATTAGCATAATGTTTTCAGGTTTATTTATGATGTATTATATATTAGTACTTCAGTTCTTATTGACAAATAATATTCGAATGTACACATATTTTATATACATCATGTTTATTCATCTGTTGATAGACATTTGAATTATTTTCATTTTTGATGTTATAAATAGTGCTGTTGTGCACATTCATGTACAAGTATTTGTGTGCATGTATGTTTCATTTTTAAGGGTATGTACATAGGAGTAAAATTGGTGGGTCAGATGGTTACTTTTTGTTTTAACCTTTTGAGAAACTGCCAGACTGCTTTTCCAAGAAACTACATCATTTTTACATACTCAACAACAGTATAATAAGAGTTCCAATTTCAGCTGGGCACAGTGGTGCATGCCTATAATCCCAGTGGCTCAGGAGGCTGAGGCAGGAGGTTCGCAAATTCAAAAGCCAGCCTCAGCAAAAGTGAGGTACTAAGCAACTTGGTGAGACCCTGTCTCTAAATAAAATACAAAATAGAGCTGGGGATGTGGCTCAGTGGTCAAGTGCCTGAGTCAATCCCCAGTACAAAACAAACAAACAAACAAACAAATAAATAAATAAAAGAGTTCCAATAAATAAAAGAGTTCCAGTTTCTTCACATCTTTACTCATGCTTGTTATTATCTGTATTTTTTTCTTAAAGTCATCCTAGTGGGTGTGAAGTGGTATCATTGTGGTTTTGCATTTCCCTGATGGCTGTTTACGTTGAGCCTCTTTACACGTGCTTGTTGACCATCTATATATCATTTTTTAGTTAGAGAATTATCTATTTAAATCCTTTGCCCATTTTTAAAATTGAGTTTCAAGAATTCTTCAGGTGTTTTAGAGAGGTTTCTTATCTGTATTTCAAAAAATATTTACAGATATATTATCAAATGTATTTTCAAAAATTTTCTCCCACTGCTTGTGATTTTAGTTTCTTGATGGTACTTTGTTGTTGTAACTGGGAATTGAACCCTAGGGCTCTTTACCACTGAGCTACATCYACAGCCCTTTATATTTTTATTTTGAAACACTAGTTGCTGAAGGGTCTAAGTTGCTGAGACTGACCTGAAACTTGTGAGACTCCTGTCTCAGCTTCCGGAGTTGCTGGGATTACAGGTGTATGCTACCATGCTCACCCTACTTAGTAGCTTTTGAATGAACGGTTTGGGAAGGGGCTTTATTTTGTCTTTTGGAAAATAATGCAGTTTTACTGAATTAAAAGTTAATATTATATAAGGAAGAAAAAATGTAAATATGTTGAGATTTTTACGTTTCAGGCAATTATTGGTAGAGTTCCAAAATGACTCCTTCTTTGGATAACATTAATTTGATTGAAAAGTGTTTGAAAAATTTTCCCTTACCCAGCTTTTGAGGATTGAACCCAGGGGTGCTCTAGTACCTGGTTACCTCCCCAGCCCTTTTTATTTTTTTATTTTGAGTCAGGGTCTCACTAAATGCTGAGACAGGCCTCAAACTAGTTATCCTCCTGCCTCAGCCTCCGAGTCCCTGGGATTACAGGTGTGCACTGCTGCACCAGGCTAACTATTTCAATTGTAATATTTTTTGGTTAAGAAACTGCTCTTGAGCTGGGCCTGCTGGCACAGGTTTGTAATCCCAGCAATTTGGAAGGTTGAGGTAGGAGGATCCTGAATTTGAGGTCCGCCTGGGCAATTTAGTGAGATCCTGTCTCAAAATAAAATGAAAAAGGGGTGGGGATATAGTTCAGASGTGAAAGTGTACCTGGGGCCTGGTACAGTGGTACACACCTGAAATCCCAACAGCTCAGGAGGCTGGAACAGGAGGATCACAAATTCAAAGCTAAGCAACTCAGTGAGACCCTGTCTCTAAATAAAACACAAAATAGTGCTGGGGATGTGGCTTAGTGGTCAAGTGCCCTTCAGTTCAATCCCTGGTGCCCCCCCCCCCGCCCCCCGCAAAAAAAAAATGCACCTGAGGTCTATACCCAGAAAAAAGCTGGCTCTGAGGAAATTAGAAAACAAAAAATAATTTACATATGCAAAACAATATTAATTTCTCTTCCAGCTCTTCCACCAAAGCCACCTAAGCCAATGACTTCAGCAGTTACAAATGGAATGAAGGACAATTCCATTTCTCTTCAGGATGCAGAATGGTACTGGGGAGATATTTCCAGGTAATTAGAATTTTACTATAGTTGAATGCAGGTTTTTTTTTTTTTTTTTTTTGCGGGAGTTGGGTACTGGGGATTGAACCAGGGGCACACTCCATCACTGAGCTACATCCCCAGTCCTCCTTTTTTTTTTTTTTTAGACAGAGTCTCTCTAAATTGGTGAGACTGCTTTGAACTTGTAGTCTTCCTGCCTCAGCCACCTGAGTTGCTGGGATTACARGCATTTGCCATTATCCCTGGTTGAATGCAGTTTTTAAAAACTCATTTTTGAGAATTAGTAGCTAAAACATTTTAATACTCTACCTGTTGTCACTTAAACAGATTACCACTTTAAATATTGTGAGAATATTTWAAAAAAAAGTCTTTATTTCTGCCCATGAAAGTGACATGAAAATCTTTAAGAGTGTGGCTTAATTTTTTATAATACTATAAAGAGGATAGATTTCTGAATGAATGAAATTTGCGCATTTAGGATAGTTACCTTTGATTTAGAACTAAAAATATTTTTAGATACTTTACTTTCTCTATAAGACAATGGTTCCAAAATTGTTGCATGCACAAAACTCAGTTGCATAGATCCCAGGAGTCTGCATTTACCAACCTTCCCTAGGTGATTTTGATACAGACTATTCAGATACTTCACTTGAGAAATTAGACTCTAGGACAGATTTTTTTAAAAATGTTTTTTAGTTGTAAATGGATCTTTTATTTTATTTATTTATTTATTTATATGTGATGCTGAGATCAAACCCAGCACCTCACACATGCCAGGCAAGTGAGCCACAACTCCAGCCCCGACAGATTTGKTTTTTGAGTAAAATATGGTTTTGTATAATTATGAACCAATTGAGGGAAAATATGTGTATTGTGTGTGTATATTTCTTAATTTAAACATTTTTTCTTTTATTTTTTTTCCCTTATTAAATTTTAATGGGTTTCTAATATATATATTTAAAATTTTTTATTTGTTCTTTTTCATTATACATGAAAGTAGAATGTATTTTGACATATTATACATACATGGAGTGTAACTTCCCATTCTGAGGTTGTATGTGATGTGGAGATCTGGTCGTGTATTCATATATGAACATAGGAAAGTAATGTCCAATTCATTCTATTGTCTTTCCTATCTAATATATCTTGTTCTTCAAAAATTCTTATCCATCTTTTTAAAAATTTWATTTATTTATTCATCTTAGTTGTTTATGAACCTTTATTTTTTATTTATTTGTAGTGCTGAGAATCAAACCCAGTGCCTCACACATTTGAGGCAAGCGCTCTACCACTGAGTCACAACCCCAGCCCTTATCCATTTTTGGCAAATCAAATTCCATGTTGAAGCTATCTTCCTTGTCCTTTCTTCTCTCTTCTCTATTCTTTCCCACTACCAAAGTGGTGCTTCTTTTTCTTTTTTTTTAACCTTTACCATTTTAACCATTTTAAGCATACAGTTAGTTCCCTGGCATTAAGTGCAGTCACATTGTTAGGCAACATCACTATCATATATTATTTTTATTTTTTTTTTTTAATTTTTTTTTTTTATATTTATTTTTTAGTTCTCGGCGGACACAACATCTTTGTTGGTATGTGGTGCTGAGGATCGAACCCGGGCCGCACGCATGCCAGGCGAGCGTGCTACCGCTTGAGCCACATCCCTAGCCCACTATCATATATTATTATAACTTTTAATCTTCCCCAACTGAAACTCTGTATCTATTAAATATTTACTCACTTTTCTCTTCTTTTTCAGCCTTTAGCACCATTCAGCTTTCTGTTTCTATGAATTTGACTATTCTAGGTACCGCATATAAGTGGAATCATATTTGTTAAAATAAATAAAATCCTAATGTGATATATACACATTTTTATTCATCTATTCATCTAGATATGTGTACTTGATGTACGTTTGGATTTTTTTTATCTTTTGGCTATAGTGAATAATGCGTCTATGAACACTGGTGTACAAATATCTTAATCCTTTAAATTATTTTGCATATAAACTCAGAAGTGGAATTGCTGAGTCATTTGGTAATTCTGTGTTTAATTTTTTTGAATAGGTCTTAGTATATATTTCATATTAAAATTGATCAAAACATTTTAAGTTTTGTAGTAGACAATAAAGAGGTCTATTGTATTTAATGCCATTTAAATTAATATTTTAAGATCATATGGTTATACTATAATTTAGTGGTCTTTTATGTCCTGCCATTTATTTGACTGTTATAATGTTATTCCTTAAAGTACTAAGCCAATCTGCAAAAAGAATTTATTGTCAGTATAAATTTAAATTAGAGAATATCATATTGAAAGATTGTGAACTTAAGTGAATTTTCCCCTCAGTTTAGAAATAGCTGCCACTGTGGCTTAAATATAACCTTTCTAAACAGCTGCTGGTTTTCCCTGACCTGCCTAAGAAAGCCCTAAATGCTTACTGAAAGTACTATCCTCTCTAGGTAGTTGAAATCTGGAAGAGTTAGATTTCACATCACTAAAAATCAAAACAGAAGGAGTACACTAGGGCAAGGAACTAAATGTCTTCTGGAGGTCTCCATGATTTTATAACCTTAAATATACCATCTCCAACTAGTCTAAGTAATATCATGTGAACACAACTAATGCTTAAGTGTTTTCACTTTTTTCTATAATTCCTGTAATTCTATTCTTCAGGGAGGAGGTAAATGACAAATTACGGGATATGCCAGATGGTACCTTCTTGGTCCGAGATGCCTCAACAAAAATGCAGGGAGATTATACTTTGACTTTGAGGTAAGTACTTTTCGGTCTTTTGGCTAGTGTTCTCCATTATTTTAGTTCAGGGTTTATAGAGAGTTCTGTATTTTATTTGAGTTATTTATATGCATATTTTTTCATATTTTTATTTAATTCAGATACATAAGTTTCAGTTGGTTATTTTTTTCTTTTTAAAACATTTTATTTCTGTACATTAATATTTGAACATTTATTTTTATTTATTTAAAAAAAATTTTTTTTAATATTTATTTTTTAGTTTTTAGCGGACACAACATCTTTGTTGGTATGTGGTGCTGAGGATCGAACCCAGGCTGCACGCATGCCAGGCGAGCGCSTTACCGCTTGAGCCACATCCCCAGACCCATATTTGAACATTTATATAAAAATGGCAATTTTTTTATGTAGCAAAAAATGAAAAGGCTAAATCCCTAAGTAAGGGAATAAGAAGAATATAGTTGACCTTATTAATGAAGTGTAGAAATCATGGGAATAGCCTAAGGTTATTGATGAATTTATCCCTCCAATAACCCTATTGTTTTCCTTAATGCAATATTTTTTATACATATATATATTTTTAGTTGTTGATGGACCTTTATTTTTATTTATTTATCTATATGAGGTGCTGGGAATCAAATTCAGTGCCTCATCACATGCTAGGCAAGTGCTCTACCACTGAGCCACAACCCCAATCCCTTAATGCAGTCTTTTGTTTTTTTTTTAGAAAGTAGAGAAGAGAGAAAGGAAGGAACACATTTTTTTTAGAGAGAGAGAGAGAGAGAGAGAGAGAATTTTAATATTTATTTTTTAATCGTTGTTTGTATGTGGTGCTGAGGATCGAACCCTGGCCGCACGCATGCCAGGCGAGCGCGCTATCGCTTGAGCCACATCCCCAGCCCCCTTAATGCAGTCTTTAGAAAGTACAACTCAGCATAATTTTGGCTGACAAAGACATGTAAAAGATAAAGCAGTTCTCAGCCTGTGCCATGTCTTTCATGTGGGAACATTAGAATCTCTTAAATGGTAAATGTATGGCTTTTTTATACTTATAGAGATGGATATATATATATATATATATATATAT